AAAAAAAAAAAAAAAAAGATTGACTAAACCTTCAGAGTTTACTAGAAAGATCAAATTGAGAGTTGCTGATATGACTCATTTGGAATAATATTATTGCTAGAATATTCTCCTGGATTTTCACACACGAGAGACTAAAGAGTGAGTTTATCCCACTCTCTTACTAGCAACTTCTCCCTATATCATTATCAAGGTAACACTACTAGGAAGCATAACACAGAATCTTGTAGAAGAATTCAAACACAAAAGTCCCACATCAAAGTCACCTGCTACATAAACAATGCAATGATAGCCTCTTCCTTGAAATGCTAATTACTAAGAAAATAGAATGCATAAAATAATGAGAGTAAAATAAACAGTTCTTTACTTGTCGATTGAAGCGGTAGGTGAAGTCTGAGGAGTCTTTTCATCTTCACCTTGAGAACCACTAAATTCTGAATCCACAAACCGTTTTCCAATCTTTGGCCGCTTTAGATGACTACTACGAGTACGAGTGGAAACTACTGGAGTTTTATCAAGACCTGAGGAGAAAATGGCAAAACTATAGTTGATTATGCATTCAAAGGGTTACCTATTAAAATTCAGAGAAATGCAAGAACTGTATTAGTTTACATATGCCCCCATCATTACACACGTTGCCCTTCTCTTGCTTATGTCAGGCTATGAAAATTACTTTAAAAAGTCTTTTTCTATACTATGTAAGAACTTTGTCAATATTTATTCCTCACATTTCCATGAAACCCTGAGCTTTACAAAGTGCTTTTGTGTTTTCACTTACATTCTCTCCCATTTCACAGGTAAGGAAGTGAGGTACAGCAGCTTATTCAAATGTTCACAAAGCAAAGTCAGAGGCAGTGGGTGCACTAGAATCCAGATCTAGATCTTACAGCTGGGTAAATCACACGCGCACAGCCTGAATTCAAAATGTCTCACTGATTGACAGAACAGTTGAATTTCTTACCTTCAGAAGTACTTGCAAAGGCATCTTTTAGAGAATCAATCTAAAATAGAGATATAGATTAAAATATAAAGTTTTTGAGAATCTTTTCTACTTATTGATATGCTTCTTTCACAGTTCCAAAGAAAAGCTTTTACAATGTTTTTCAAATACTTTTTGTTAAGAAAACTCACTTTAGGCTAGGCGCCTGTGGCTCAAGCGGCTAAGGCGCCAGCCACATACACCTAAGGTGGCGGGTTCGAATCCCCAGCCCGG